ATAAAAAAAATGTCATAATTAAAATTTTAAAATAATATCATAATTAAAGAAGAAAATTGATCATAACTAAAAAAAAATGGTATAACTAAAAATATATATGAAATGAAGTGTGTATAATAGAATTCTCATTATCTATCTCATAAGTGATTAATCCTAATTCCATTCATGATCACCTTTTGCCCGTTTCTCATCTATACCTTTCCATTTGGTGATCAATTTTCACTGATCATAATCAAACCATGATTATACTTTTTTTTATTAAAATAAAATAAAGAGAGAGCATATGATAGATATAAAAATTGACATATATATGGTTGTGTTCTCATCATGGTGGAAGATATGGAATACATGGAAGCAAGCTTGGCAGTGGAAAAAAAAAGCTTGGCAGTGGAGTATCCAACAAAACAAGCGATATGGGTTGTTTGTTGCAATTTAAATAAGTTATTTGTAACTTATTTTAGTTTGAGAATTTATGTCAAATTATTGAAAGTCATTTTTTTTTAAAATTATTAGGTAAGAATAACTTAAATAAGTTAAAAAGAAAATTGATTATCTGGAAGTTGCGGATGGTGTAGTTTTGACTACTGGTTGTTTGTTGCAATTTAAATAAGTTATTTATAACTTATTTTAATTTGAAAATTTATGTCAAATTATTGAAAGACATTTCTATTTACAATTTATCAGGTAAAAAGAACTTAAATAAGTTTTTAAAAAAAATTGATTATCTAAAAATTGTAGATGCATTGTTTTTTCATTTCTGCTTTTTAATTATAACAATGTTACATGTATTAAAACTCTTATTAAAAATTTCATGTGTCCAAAGATCATTGGCTGTCTATGAATCATTATTTAATTCATTTGCACTTTTAATATTAAAAAAAAAATAGTAAGAATGCTAAAAATTATAAAATATTTTTTTTAATTACTAACTTTTAATTTACAACAAACTGATCTCAACTCACACAGGACAACTGAGCTTGGGTGGGTTTGTTACTTGCTTGGATGCCTAAAGTATCTTATGGGAGCTCTTAGTGTTCCACCAGACTTCATCGTCTGAGTAGTTTGATATAACATCTACCCATAACGAAAGCAACTTTGGCTAATTTGATATAACATCTACCCACAATGAAAGCAACTTTGGCCTTATTGAACTCGAAGAATGGAATAGGTCGCACCTTCTTACTCCTAGGTTTGAGTGCAGGGATATGATCGGATAATTATGCTTCTTTGTATCCATATCTTTCACTTCCTGTGGTTCCACACAATTGTTCAAAATTCAACTTTTGAGACGAGAAAGAAATGTTTTGTGAATTCTCTAATTCTGACATAGATGGTCTGTCTTTGATCGAACCACAGCACAATACTAAACAAAATGGATCCATTAAGGGATACAACACCCCGTGCCTCTTATAAGAGAATTGTGTTCTTCTCCATTGCATATTTAAAATGAAGATGTTCCATTACATCATTCAATGGTGAGTGTAATAATCTTTTTTTAATTTAAAATAATTATAAACTTGCATTCATATTTTATAGCCATTAGATATGTAATTGAAATTCTCTATTACATATATGGAATGGAGAGGATCTTCTCTAAAACAAAAATTAAATAATATTTTTTTACTTTTAGAATTCAAGTCATAAATTTAATTAAAGATTGTTTGAAGTATTGCCCTAAACTCTAATCTTTTGAGGTCATAACAATAATAATAATTTAAAAGATTACATTCCTCTATTTATGTGTTCAATGTCACCTATCTGACTATATATCTATCCGCATGTTACCTATCTATCCATATCACTGCTACCACCAACCACAACTGATTGCCACCACCGACCGTTGCCAATCACCTACAGTGATTTTTTCAGAAACCGGAAATCAACGGTCCAATGGTGGTCCAGTGGCAGCGAGTAAAAATGAAAAAAATTATCTTTTAAAAAATAATTTGTCATTTTTACTAAACAATTTCATTAATTATATTTTCATAAATAAAACAAAAATAATTCTTGAATCTAACGCAATACATCCTAAAAGTTCTCAACAATTTATCTTTATTTATTTATTTATTTATTTTTCCTAGTATGGAAGAAATGGTGACGAGTGTAATAACCATGTAGATTTAGGAGTAAAATGGGTTGGATTAGAGTAAATAAATGGACCACATTAGAACAGAACCCATGTGGCGATGCAAAATAATTTAGAGCTCGTTTGGAGAATATTAAAATAGTCATTTTTTTTTTTCAGTCACATTATTTTTTTTACACATCTTCTAAAAAAATTTAAAAATATATTTATTTAAATTATCATAAACAATCATATAATTTTTTTAATTTTTTAATCAACCGACGTTTAGAGTCCATCTCACTCACACATAGCTCCATTGAGTCCAGACAGAAGCACACGTGACCCATATTTTTACACAAAAGACATTATTATTGTTACCTTTCTGTATTATTTTCAATTATTATTTTTTTTTAGCAAATTACAAATACCTCCTTCGAGATTTAGTTAAATTACAAATACCCTCCTGAGATTTCAAAAATTACATCCCGCCCCTTGAGGTTTGTATTTTCATAACAATTTACCCCCTGAGATTTATATTTTATTACAAATTATCCCCTAATTTTTTATGTAAATATAACATTCAAAAAAAAATTTATAATTTCTTAAACTACAAAGAAGTATTTATAATTTAATCAAACCTCAAGAGGGTATATATAATATGTCCTTTTTTTTTCAACTTTACTTGCAATCCCAATACCCTCTCTTTCACCCAAAACAAACGGGGCCTTAGAGTCCATCTCACTCACACATAGCTCCATTGAGTCCAGACAGAAGCACACGTGACCCATATTTTTACACAAAAGACATTATTATTGTTACCTTTCTGTATTATTTTCAATTATTATTTTTTTTGGCAAATTACAAATACCTCCTTCGAGGTTTAGCTAAATTACAAATACCCTCCTGAGATTTCAAAAATTACATCCCGCCCCTTGAGGTTTGTATTTTCATAACAATTTATCCCCTGAGATTTATATTTCATTACAAATTATCCCCTAATTTGTTATGTAAATATAACATTCAAAAAAAAATTTGTAATTTCTTAAACTATAAAGAAGTATTTATAATTTAATCAAACCTCAAGAGGGTATATATAATTTGTCTTTTTTTTTCAACTTTACTTGCACCAAAGTCCTCTTACTCTCTCCCCACGCACTCACCCAGTCATCACATCAGGAGTGTTTGTCAATTTTAAATAAATTAAAAAAATTAATTATTTAAAATTAAAAAAAATACATTTTACTTTATGATTATTAGAGATTATTTGGTATTTCTTAAATAATTTATCTTTTTATCTTTTTTTTCATCACATCACTTCTCTACTTTTTTATACATATTTTCATAAAAAGACAAAAAATATACTTATTTAGATTATCCTAAATAATTCTTTATTTTTTAACTTTTAATTTGCACGCCACAGCCCGCACGGTTCAATGAATGTGCTATGGCCCAATCACTTTTTCAAACTACCAAAAGTACCCTCCACCGAAAGTCATATTTGAGCCTTGCGCCAAATCCCCCACCAAAAAGCTACTGCCCCCACCCCACGCTCATCACATTTTTTTTTAATATATATATATATATTTTTATATAGTTTATAGAAAAAGGCTACAAAGAAATCCACACCTTGAAGCTAACTAAATTCTTGAGTAAATTACACGTCGTCCAAAACTAATATAGATCTTGTAAAGATACAAGAATAACAAATATATATGTACTCTTTTTTTATATATATATATATATATATACGTTAGTGTAAAATAGATGATATCTTCTTCTTCTTTTTTAATCTATAAATGAATTATTAATTCAGTATTATATAAATTAAAATTTAAAAAGAATTCAATGTAATTATACTAAAATTGTGAGATTTGTTGGATTTTTTTTATTTTTTTTTTTCAAATACCAAAATAGGTCAATAAAATTAATCTTAGATTCTCTATGAATTATAAGATTAACCATAATTTTGGGGTTGAGTTTTTTTATTTTGATATTGCGTTCAATTTTTTTAATTATTTTTTATTATCATTTGATGTAGCGTCTTATCTATACATCCATTAGTACATTGCATGGTAAATGCCATATCAAACGACAAATAAGTTCAATATAAATATTGATCATGTCTTGTTTGAAAACATACTATTTTAGTAATTTTTTACAAAAAAAATGTGTAGAAAAATAAAAAGAATAATGTGACAACTTATAGTAACTTTCGACTAAAATATATAATTAACCAACGGAGCCTAAGTTCTATATAAATAATATTTTCTTCTAATTCTCGTGAAACTATCTGAGAAACATGATAACGTGACAAATATCAGATGAACTGTGAGAAGGAGAATCATGTTTGGTCGACATCAAGGTATACTTGCTCTATATCATCACTATTCATTCACATGCATGAAATATATATGCATATACATATATTTATAAACATGACCATATAATTAATGATTCATATTCCCTTTCGTTGGAGGTAGATCCAATTATCTTAACAATCTAAGCCGTTCATATTGTAGAGAGCCTTGTGTATATATTGTTCATAAAAGATTAGATTAATTCAATAATATTAATCACATGATTTTACTAAATTTGTAAAAGTATAACTTTGAAAATACATGTTTATTTTTGAAAGGACAAATTAAATAAAATCATGTGATTATGATGTTCATATCAATTAGATCGTTTTATAAATGATCTATACATAAAAACTTATAAGATGATTTATAGCAGGCCCTACAATCTGGATTGCAAGACAAGTAGTCCAAATTATCAAAATGACACTCATAGTAAGCATTATAATCTAGACTACGACACTTATAATCTGAACGATTCAAATAATCAAAATGATGACCATAACAAGATCCACAACCCAAACTATGAAATCAGATAAAATAGTTTGACTACAATTATCATATCAATTTATTTTTTCATAAATAATTTACACATCAAATTATCGAATCAAAACTCATAATGACCCCACAGTCTAAACTGGACAAAACAAACCTCTCTCCAACAGGAGAGAGAGAGAGAGAGGATCCTATAATATCAAAAGCGCCAGCTATGAATGTGAATAAACGCGTCATACAAGCAAGGCTGCACGAGTGTAATGAAACAGCGTCCTAGTAACCAGGATCAATGCTTTCTTAAACTAATATATAAACATAATAGGCTTTGTTTGCCTTTGTTTTTTGTTCAAAGGTGGTTTCAATTCTTAGACTCTTTTTGACATTCGTGAATTCAGCTCCACCCTACCATCTTGTCTCTATATATAAACAAGTATTACATATACATTTCAAAAAAAAAAACATATATTACTATTTTTTTATATTTTTTATTGTGTATACAAACTTAAAGGTTCTCACCCAATTTCAGGGTGGGACACCTCCTCAAAGCACAAGACCTTTGATTTGCGTTTTGTGTAAGCCATTATGTCCATCTGTTGTTGCTTGGTCTTGTCTCTCTCCTATGTATATAAAGCTAGAAACCCAAGTTCAAGTTTGTTTCCCAGTTTGTGTTTAGAGGCTCCAAAGGTCATCAGCAAAGTTTTCTCTGTATCTATCTATCTCAAACTGAATACTCCTCAGGTATATTGAGATTTATTTTTTAACACATCTAATCTTTGTAAAGGGTATGGATCTTCTGTTTCAAAATCTTTGTTCTTCTGTATTTAATGTATTCCTAACTGCATCATCAATTTTTGAGATTTTGAGCACATTTGGAATTCTCGAGGCATATAGTTGAAAGTGCATTGAGATGTTTTTGAATTTTTAGCTAGAATTCTCAAGGCACGATCGTACAGCTGAAAGTGTATTGAGACAGGGAATATGAATTTTTGGGACAGAGATCTTGACCTAGAAATAGTTGATTCTGTCATTAATGGGTATTGGGATGTTATTCTTAGAAATATGTTTATTTTTGTTTTTCAATTGATGTGGCAATCCAGGTAAAGGCATCAACTTTTGAAAGGAAACAACACATAAGGGCAAACACGACAACATAGGGGTGGGAAAAAAAAGGAGCTTTTGAATTGATTTGTTGCTTTGTTTGCTATAGTTTTAATGGAGTGGGGTTGGAAGAAGAATTCTTTTCGTTGGGTAGAGAATGTGGAAGAGAATGAAGATCTGAAAATAGTTTCAACCTTATCGTCGATTCCTCAACCACAAACACCAAGGGAACCCATGGAGTTCTTGTCAAGATCTTGGAGCCTCTCTGCTTCGGAGATTTCAAAAGCTCTGGCTCAAAAACAAAAACAGTTTCTTGTTGATAAGAATCCAATTGTAACCCCAGAGACATTTGTCCCACCAACATATGTAAGTTTTCATTAATCATTTTCTACACAATCTCCCTTGTATAGGGTTGTAAAAAAAATTGTTTAGGATTGGCACATTAGGTAAACAAGTCTAAAAACATTTTGACGCTCGTTAATTTTCTAAGCTCAGCTTGATAAGCTTGTTCTCATTACTAATAAAATTTTCAGTAGTCACAAAAGAAGAGAAAAAAAAAAGAAGAAAAGAAATAAGAAATGTCAAGCACAAAACATTTAAACTAGATAGTGATATTTGAAATCTCATGATTGGAAGGTCACTAGAATGCACACCTTTTCTTATTTGTCTGTGCTTTGTTGCAGCCATGCAAGGTCGTGAATTCTTTAAGTGCTCGGAGAACAGGGTCATTCGGTAGGTGGTTCAAGGATTCCAACAATAGCAACCTAAAGAAGAAAGACAAAGCGCGAGTAGAAAATGCACGGATCCACGCTGCCCTCTCTGTTGCTGGACTAGCTGCAGCGTTGGCTGCTGTGGCTGCAGCAGAAAACTCTAAATCTTCAAGCTCAAAAATGAGTTCGGCTTTGGCATCAGCTACAGAGCTCCTTGCATCACATTGCATCGAGATGGCTGAATCAGTTGGGGTTGAGCATGATCGTGTGACTTCGGTTGTCAGATCAGCGGTAGACATTCAAAGCCCAAGCGATATAGTGACTCTCACAGCTGCAGCTGCAACAGGTATTCCATCAGTAGTTTTGCATCTTCTTCTTGTTTCTAAAACTTCATAAAGCAGTTCTATTTCACCCAGCCACGAGTAATGAAGTACTGAAAATTTTGAACATTTATTTCTACAACTTCATAAAGCAGTTCTTTTACAATCTATTTTGAAGAAAGGACCACATGATTTTCCAACACTGAAGAATTTATGCAGATTTGAGTCAATCACTATCCTTCAGTAGTTGATACGAAGTTGTATTATACATTCTTTCGAACATTCATTTTTGACTAATGTCAATTTTTTCACCTCCTAAATAAGCTTTGCGAGGTGAAGCAGCTCTGAAAGCGAGGGTTCCAAAAGAAGCAAAGAAGAACGCCACTATAATTCCATATGATAAGGGTATGGCAGAAGCTCCAAGGGTTCCTTCTTTTCATAGCGAAATGGAACAAGAAAATCCTGCTCCTGCTCATATAGGTGACTTATTGCAACATGCACAAAAAGGTAAAATTCGCTACTCATAGCTTAATCAGGTTATCTAATTCGTTCAGTAATGATATTCCTGTCTCTAAGAGATCACACGTCATTGCAAAGAGGCATCAAATTCAAAATGAAATACCAAAAAATTGTTGTTAAAGTTTTGCCCTGAGATACTGGAACTTAACATACAGATGATCGCAATTTTGAAATATCAAATGTTTTGAAAGGACTAAATGCCGAAAATCTGATTTTGATACTTCAAAATTTATGGGGTTTACCTGATATTGGTAATTCTAACAGAAATATGGATTTTATAGTTTCATCATTTTTAATCTATTAACTTGTTTGTTACATACTCTCTCCGACAGCGCTAGCAATTTTAGGATATGACAATTTTTACTGCTAAATCTAATTTCATTTGCCATTGGAATTTCTCAGGAGTCCTGCGATGGAAGCGTGTGTCTGTCTATGTCAACAAAAAATCTCAGGTAAATGAAATAGCCAAATGAATATGGACATGGAGTGTCACAATTTAGATTGTCTTGTGACAAATTGATGTGTTGTTTTCTCATATGAGTTCACTGACAGGTCATAATTAAGATCAAAAGCAAACACGTAGGAGGAGCCTTTTCCAAGAAGAGCAAATGTAAGCATCAGCCTAAATTTTAAGAGATTGTGAAATGTATATTTGCTTTAAATATTCCAAAATTTCCTCTATTGCAATTTATGTCCTATTTAACGAAATAGATCTAGTGCATAGAAATCTAGTGTTTCTATCTGACATTATTGATGGGTAATACCAGGTGTTGTCTATGGAGTCTGCGATGAGAGTCATGGGACTTCCCCATGGCCATTCAAAAAAGAAAGAGAGAATGTGGAAGCCTATTTTGGGGTCAAAACGGCACAGGGCCTTCTAGAGTTCAAGTGCAATAACAAGATCCATAAGCAGAAGTGGCTAGATGAGATACAAAATCTTCTTCACCAATCCACTTGCGTTGAAGATGCTGACAGCTCCAAGTTTTTAAATATTACAAAGAGTCTTTGATTAGTTTGTAAATATTAATGGTTTATTAGTCAGGGTGCGTCTGATAGTTCAAGAATAGATGAAATGTAACATTACTGAAATAGAAATATTACCACGGCTATACTGCGTTTTCCAAGTACCATTCTCCAGTTACAGAAGTGAAAACATCTTTTTACACTCCTAAGAAAGTCCATTCTTTCGAGTTTACCTTCTCAGCCATAAAATTCTACTACAAACACTTCTAAGAATGAAGATCTGGAAAATTGAATGTTTTAAAATGTTTTGGCGATAGAAAAGCATGCTTTTCCATAGATTAAATGGAATTTCCATACAAACATATCACTCTATTTCCCTATAGTTTCTCTTCTTTTTTTTCCAACATGTTCTTTCCTATAGTTTGCTCTTGTTTTGGTTTTTTTTTTTTTTTTTTTTTTTTTTTTTTTTTTTTCTACTTTTGGGCTTCTGTGTGGGGGATGTGGGGTGTTTTTTATTTCAATACCACGGTGGGATGCCAAAACCGTAATCAATATAAAACTACCTTCACCAACTGCAAATATACACTATTTTTTCAAGAACAATTTACTGTTGAAAAACAAATGGAGCCATGAAAACGTCATGATTTCTTCACAAGTGATTTAATACCAAGCGAAGCTAAGAGGTAAACTAAACTAGGCATAGACCTATCCAAAGTTTGAAGAAATGAACCTCAACTTGACGGCATCGTATCCCAATGGCTTGGGAATGCTAACTAAAACTCCCCTAAACCGATTGACTGAGACTTGTTAGTATAGCAGCAGCTAACCTTGTCAAAGTTATTTCAAACTCCATTATATGAACAAAGTTTTCTCTCTACACCTCTGCCAAGAAACTTCTAGAAGAATCAAAGCAAGAAAATGGAACAATTCATGGTCATCTCAATATTTTCTTTAAAATCACTTCAGGACTAGTAAGGTCAAAGTCGGCTTCATAAATTTCATAATGGTAATATGTGCAATTGAAATTTGGTAATAGGTCCACATGGGAAAATTTATATTGAACAATTTGAAAGAATAATGAAATGTACATACAGATTGTGGCTTTCAAATGCCTTTTCTCCTCTACTGTCTCTCAGAAGACTACAGTCTTGTTTTCCTCATAAGGCAGAACCCGCAATTCACAATAAGATTTTATTGCCATTGCAAGGCACTGTTTCTCAAGGTTCTCTGATTTCTGTATGAAGCTCTGCAAATTATCTCTGTGTGAAACTCTCTCAACCTGGATAATGGGAATATAAAAAAAAAATTAAAAAACAAAAATTTTACTTTTTTCAGAAAACATAATAACCCGATGGTTTTAGACTCCCTATGCATTAGATACAGATCATCAAGATTTTGTGATCAGCTGCCAAGCTTATTCCATTGTTTTGATTTTATCATGTATGTTTTCAATGATAAAATTAACCAAGAAATAGTGAAATTCATGTGCATGTGTACACATGCACATGCACATGCACATGCATGCAGTTGAAAAACTCAGCCCACACTTCTCCTTAAAACCTAGGTATTAAGGAAAGGAAAACTAGAGTCTTATAACCAGTACAGATGGAGCAACTTCAGATGATGTGGGACGCATTCCGACACACCCTCCTGGACCAGCTCTTCTAGGACAGTTCAGTCCCTGTTTTTTCACTTTCTAGAGTGTAGGCTAAGTTTTTCAATTTGGTATCAGAGCTTGATTGAGCTTGTGATTGGTGTGCCGTTTGTCTAGCTATTGTATGTTGTGGTCCAAGAGGGTGTGTTGGAATGTGTCCCACATTGCCTGAAGTTGCTCCATCTGTACTGGTTATAAGGCTTTAGTCTCCAAGTATTAAGGAGAGGGAAACTAGAGCCTTCTAACCAGTACAGATGGGACAACTTCAGGCAATATGAGACACATTCCAACACATGCATGTGTGTGTGTGTGTGTTTGTGTGTGTGTGTGTGTGTGAGAGAGAGAGAGAGAGAGAGAGAATAAGCTGAAACAACAAGTGTCCGGCATGCAAGCATGCATAATGTGATCAAGGACAAATTGCAGTAAAGTGTTGGAATAATTAAATATGACTTTAACCCATCTTAAGTTCAGATTGAAATAGCAATTTTAAAAACCAGCAGTTTTATAGAAAATTTTCAAGGCAGCATCCTTTCCCCTTTTTAATGTGTATTGCACAGATCTTTAGAAGTTGCATATCCAACATTTTTGTCAAATTTCAAAAAGGAAGTTACTAGAGCAAGAACAAATTAACTTAGACAGGATCCTCCAGTCTAGATTATAATTCTTTAACAATATTTTGAACTAGGGGGTTTACAGTGCATTATGACAGTTACAATACAGCTCATAAACCACAATTTTTTTCACCAGCAAATTCTTTTCACCGGACCAACTTAATATATAGGATATGGGATTTTAAATGGCTACCTTTGGTGCTAGAACCGGATGCATGTCGTGACTACAGAGAAAAATACTGTTAAGAGTAAGATAAGTGGGGGTATTGAAATTCGGGCTTAAATTTTATGGGACAGACAGCAGAAAATTCTGAGCCAGGCTTGTGTTTTTGAAAAGTGAAACTGTCCCACCCAGGAAGATCTTACTAGTTGGAAAGACAAGTAATATATGGTCAAAAGACCAGAGAAAAAATGAAGCATGTCAGATAAGTATTCCAATATAAAATAAGCCTTTCTTTTTCCTTCTTATATATATATATATATAACAATAGAAGCCTTCTGTAAACAATTTTGGGCCATCCAAAGCCATTCCTACCTAGTTCCACAAGCTTCTTAGTATGTAACAGATGCCACTCATCCATATTCTTACCCTACCTTGACTATCTCTTATAGAAGGACCCAAGCCAAGTTTTTTTCAGCTTCACATGTTAGTCAATGGGGATTATAAAATGAAAGTTTAAACAGCAGGAAATAAGAGAATTGTTTCCATTGAATACTCTCTCACCCCAACTTGAGATCCTGTTAGCATTCCAAATTCAGATATTTTAGCCTAACAAAATGATTAAATATTTAATGGAAGTGAATTAATTGCAGTAGTCAATAGTAGAATAATCACCATTTGTTCAATAATAGGCCCTGCATCAAGTTCTTCAGTTACAAAGTGACTTGTTGCACCAATTAATTTCACACCAGCATCAAAGGCCTGAGAATATGAGATACCAAATTAAACATATATGAATAAGAATAGGGACACTGAATAATCCATCAAAGAGGAGCAAAATGCAACCTGTTTAGAAGGATTCCCACCCTTGAATGATGGCAAAAGGCCATGATGGATGTTAATTATATCCTTTCCATAACTACTCAAAAAATTTCCTGATAATACCTGCATAAATGACTATTGTTGTTTTCAATCCCAAATAATGGGTGATTTAATCATATCATTGAATTTGTGAGTTATATAAAAATTGGCAAAGCATGGAGAAAAACAGACAATAGCATGCAATGAATGTTCTCAAATTAATTACCATTGATGAATAGGCTGAAAGAAAAACAGGGAGAATCCCATTTTCTACTGTCACAATACTGAAATTTAACAACCAAAAGGCATATATACACACAATTCACCTTTTAGGAAACGATATAAATGAGGAAACGATATAAATAAGAAAACAACATTAAATCAGTAATTGACACAATCACAGATTATATACATAATACTAAAAATAAAAAAATTCTATGTTCTTTAATTTCTATATTCAACACTCTCCCTCAAGCTGGAATGAGGATATTCAACAATCGCAGCTTGCTAATGGATGACTAGAAGAAGCCAGAAAAAACTCAACGGCTAGTCCAAATAAATATTACCGAACAAATCTGGTTGTCCACTAAATAAAAAAATGTCAAAAAGTACTTAATACATCAACACCACAACCTAGAAAGAAAAAAAAAAAAAGACTGAACTGCCCTAGAAGAGCTACCGAAGCAGAGATTGAACTTCCCTTGAAGACCTGCCGAAGCATCTATGGCCAGGAAACACCCTGGTCAACAGCCAACAAGACCCTGGTAACAGCCAACAAGATCCTAGTCGGCATCAGAGGCCGAAACTAATGCCGAGAGATAGTTTATGGTCGTGCCAGACCATTGTAGAAACTGGTCGGAACTAATGTCGGAACAGTTTAAGGTCATGCTGCACCATTGTAGGAACTGACCGGAATCAATGTCGAGACAATTTATGGGGTCATGCCGAACCGTTGTAAGAATTAACTGGAATCAATGTCGAGACAGTTTAAAGGGCCATGTCGGACTGTTGTAGAGATTAATCGGAATCAATGTCGGGACAATTTAAAGGGGTCATGCCAGACCGATGTAGAGAACTGGATGTTGAACCAGCAAGCGTGGCACACCCATAACTTATGACGTGGTGCTGAACGATAATGACAACAGATGATTGAGTGCGCTAGGGACGGCTTTGGTGGTGCGCTAGAGGGGGCAACTTTAGTTGTGCGCCAGAGGGGGCGGCTTAGGTGGTGCACCAAGGAGGCGACTTGGGTTGTGCGCCGGAGGGGGCAGCTTAGGTGGTTCATATAATATATCACCATACTCACCATGATATAGATGTAATACCCACTATCAAACTCAAATAGGTTTGAAGATAGAAACCTATTTGAGGTTGAGAGAGAGAGAGAGAGAGAGAGAGAGAGAGTGGAACAGAAACATACAAAAAAATGGATTGCGAGTAAAAAAAAAAATATGATAGAGATATTTGGGATAAGAATAAACTAGTGTACAGAGGAAGAGATCACGAAGTGATACTGAAAGAAAATATGGCAGTGACATGGGTTGAGGTTTGGCAAGTGGCCCACTGGTGAAGCAAAATTACTAGGTACTTAACCTAGCTCTGATACCAAAAAGAATGAAAATATTTATTTGGTTTCCCCATGAATGAGGTAGAGGCCATGTATATATAATAGATTCATGATACAATTTAGGAATCGATATAAATAAGAAAACAATATAAATAAGAAAATAATACTAAATCAATAATTGACACAATCATAAATTATATACATAATACTAAAAATAAAAAAAATTTATGTATTCTAATTTCTATATTCAACAAGAACTTCTTATCATTAGGATTAGATTTACCTGCATATATCTAGCAAGTACTAAAAAATCAGTATCTTGAATCAAATCCAAGATCTCTGCCTCTCTCTTACTCCCATTACTTTTGTGCAAATAATGATACGGGATTCCATGCCTTTCAAGAAATCGAATCACATGGGTGTTTGGTCCTCTATCATGATTACTGTGAAGGAGATGCATTCAAAAATATCAGGCAACATATTTGAATCCAAAAAACCTGGTGAAAATGGGTAGCATTCTTCTATATTCACCTTATTATGCAAGTTATATCCACTGGAAGTCTTCCATCCTGCCATCCATGCAGCAAATCAACCAGACAATGGTCCTGTGCCAACATAATGACAGCTTCAGTAAGAGAAAGTGTACAGGCTGATGCTTAGAATATGCTTCGACAAACACATTAGACTGCCCCATGGCACAAATTAGTCTGGTCCTGTATTCATTTTATGGCTCGGGGTGAGGGAACGACCAAGTACTCAAGATAAGTTGAAATATGGTAAAATCAACTCTGTTAGCTGTGTTTTTTCCAGGTTGATTATTGAAGAGCATGAACATTTGTTCTTTGAGTGCTCTTTCATAGGGTGTGCTTGGAATCATTTGTGCAGGAAGTGTAACATACAGAGGCCTCATCTCAAACGGGGAGACTTGGCTGCATGGGCTTCAGTGCATCTTAAAGAAAAAGCTATGAACAAGATACCATCCAGATGCATGCCTGCTTCTTCTGTTTACATCCTTCTGAGGGAGAGAAATGCTAGATTTTTTCACAATTATAGGGACTCTAAGTAGATTATTGAAGAAATCTTAATGAATGTTAGGTCTCAGTTGTGCTTATTTATAAGTGTTAGAAACAACCACTCTAACATGTGGCTGCAGTGAGAATGGAGGTTGCCATTCAATCTTTTCAATCAATGCCAAAGACTTTGTTTGCAGTGTTCTTGAGGTTCATAACGATGTGGGTTGAATGATTTGGTTGCCGGTGATGGACTAGTTGATTGTGGGGCTTTGTGGTTTGGCTGCTTGGGTATTTTGTTTTGCCCCCATGTGATATGCCTTTGGATAATGGGTATTGGTTGCTGTAAATTACAAGATCCTGTCCTCATTATCTTCTTGTTTATTCTTTGGCCTTGGCTGGCCCCATCTTTGAGGTTTTCATCCTCATTGTAATGCCGGGGGTATGCCCCATGAATGATATAAATATTTCCGATATTTTTCTACAATTATATAGGAATCATGAATCATTGTAATAAATATCAACAAATACAACAATCAATAATACAATCATTTCTCTTTATACATTAAATTTCTACAATAAGAAAACAATATTAAATCAGTAATTGACACAATCACAGATTATATACATAATACTAAAAATAAAAAAATTCTATGTTCTTTAATTTCTATATTCAACACTCTCCCTCAAGCTGGTACGAAGATATTCAACAATCGCAGCTTGCTAATGGATGACTAGAAGAAACCAGAAAAAACTCAACGGCTAGTCCAAATAAATACTACCGAACAAATCTGGTTGTCCACTAAATAAAAAAATGTCAAAAAGTGCTTAATACATCAACACCACAACCTAGAAAAAAAAAAAAAGGGGAAAAAAAAAAGACTGAACTGCTCTAGAAGAGCTACCGAAGCAGGGATTGAACTACCCTAGAAGACCTGCCGAAGCATCTATGGCCAGGAAACACCCTGGTCAACAGCCAACAAGACCCTGGTAACAGCCAACAAGACCCTGGTCGGCATCAGAGGCCGAAACTAATGCCGAGAGATAGTTTATGGTCGTGCCAGACCATTGTAGAAACTAGTCGGAACTCATGTCGGAACAGTTTAAGGTCATGCTGCACCATTGTAGGAACTGACCGGAATTAATGTCGAGACAATTTATGGGGTCATGTCGAACCGTTGTAAGAATTAACTGGAATCAATGTCGAGACAGTTTAAAGGGTCATGTCGGACTGTTGTAGAGATTAATCGGAATCAACGTCAGGACAATTTAAAGGGGTCATGCCAGACCGATGTAGAGAACTCGATGTTGAACCAGCAAGCGTGGCACACCCATAATTTATGACGTGGTGCTGAACGATAATGACAACAGATGATTGAGTGCGCTAGGGACGGCTTTGGTGGTGCGCTAGAGGGGGCAGCTTTAGTTGTGCGCCAGAGAGGGCGGCTTAGGTGGTGCATCAAAGAGGCGACTTGGGTTGTGCGCCGTAGGGGGCGGCTTAGGTGGTTCATATAATATATCACCATACTCACCATAATATAGATGTAATACCCACTCTCAAACTCAAATATGTTTGAAGATAGAAACCTATTTGAGGTTGAGAGAGAGAGAGAGAGAGAGTGGAACAGAAACATACAAAAAAATGGATTACGAGTAAAAAAAAAAATATGATAGAGATATTTGGGATAAGAATAAACTAGTGTACAGAGGAAGAGATCACGAAGTGATACTGAAAGAAAATATGGCAGTGACATGGGTTGAGATTTGGCAAGTGGCCCACTGGTGAAGCAAAATTACTAGGTACTTAACCTAGCTCTGATACCAAAAAGAATGAAAATATTTATTTGGTTTCCCCATGAATGAGGTAGAGGCCATGTATATATAATAGATTCATGATACAATTTAGGAATCGATATAAATAAGAAAACAATATAAATAAGAAAATAATACTAAATCAATAATTGACACAATCATAAATTATATACATAATACTAAAAATAAAAAAAATTTATGTATTCTAATTTCTATATTCAACAAGAACTTCTTATCATTAGGATTAGATTTACCTGCATATATCTAGCAAGTACTAAAAAATCAGTATCTTGAATCAAATCCAAGATCTCTGCCTCTCTCTTACTCCCATTACTTTTGTGCAAATAATGATACGGGATTCCATGCCTTTCAAGAAATCGAATCACATGGGTGTTTGGTCCTCTATCATGATTACTGTGAAGGAGATGCATTCAAAAATATCAGGCAACATATTTGAATCCAAAAAACCTGGTGAAAATGGGTAGCATTCTTCTATATTCACCTTATTATGCAAGTTATATCCACTGGAAGTCTTCCATCCTGCCATCCATGCAGCAAATCAACCAGACAATGGTCCTGTGCCAACATAATGACAGCTTCAGTAAGAGAAAGTGTACAGGCTGATGCTTAGAATATGCTTCGACAAACACATTAGACTGCCCCATGGCACAAATTAGTCTGGTCCTGTATTCATTTTATGGCTCGGGGTGAGGGAACGACCAAGTACTCAAGATTAGTTGATGAAATATGGTAAAATCAACTCTGTAAGCTGTGTTTTTTCCAGGTTGATTATTGAAGATCATGAACATTTGTTCTTTGAGTGCTCTTTCATAGGGTGTGCTTGGAATCATTTGTGCAGGAAGTGTAACATACAGTGGCCTCATCTCAAACGGGGAGACTTGGCTGCATGGGCTTCAGTGCATCTTAAAGAAAAAGCTATGAACAAGATACCATCCAGATGCATGCCTGCTTCTTCTGTTTACATCCTTCTGAGGGAGAGAAATGCTAGATTTTTTCACAATTATAGGGACTCTAAGTAGATTATTGAAGAAATCTTAATGAATGTTAGGTCTCAGTTGTGCTTATTTATAAGTGTTAGAAACAACCACTCTAACATGTGGCTGCAGTGAGAATGGAGGTTGCCATTCAATCTTTTCAATCAATGCCAAAGACTTTGTTTGCAGTGTTCTTGAGGTTCATAACGATGTGGGTTGAATGATTTGGTTGCCGGTGATGGACTAGTTGATTGTGGGGCTTTGTGGTTTGGCTGCTTGGGTATTTTGTTTTGCCCCCATGTGATATGCCTTTGGATAATGGGTATTGGTTGCTGTAAATTACAAGATCCTGTCCTCATTATCTTCTTGTTTATTCTTTGGCCTTGGCTGGCCCCATCTTTGAGGTTTTCATCCTCATTGTAATGCCGGGGGTATGCCCCATGAATGATATAAATATTTCCGATATTTTTCTACAATATTTGCTTACTTTCCCCCCAAAAAAAATAAATTACAAGCTTAAGACCATACACCTAATGCAGAACAAAGTAGCCATCAAAGATTAAAACAACACCTGCTTTGAAGCAAGAACTGCAATCTTGTATTTGGGATCAACAGTGGGCACACGAACAACAGATTTCATCGCATTGAACATTTTTGACAGCTTCAGGAAGTCCTCTTCCATTTTCACCCTTGGCCATTTAGCAGGATCAAAGACAAAATCACTGTCAAGTTGCAGCAGAATTTAGCATTGTTAGATTTTGTTGTACAACACTATCAGATTTTTGTCACATCAAACTAATCACTACAGACTGTGGCAGAGCCAGGAATTTAATATAGTGGGGCACCTATTAATTATAATCTCAAAATTTTTTCTTCTCCAATTAATAACAATAACATAATAATAATTTTTTGAGCTAATATTAAACATAAAAAATTAATATTCATTACAAAAAGTTTTTAATCTTAAACTTTTACAATTGTCCCGACGAGTTTTCATCGTTTGAAAGCTTTCCATGATAGTATCATTGTCAATGCCATCAAAAATATCTCTCTCAATGTAGACAACCAAGCTATCATTCATCCATTCATCACCCATTTAGAGACACTTACCAAATTAAACACAGAGATACTTAACAAATACTGTGAATAAATAACAAAAAATAAAGAATTTCATACACTTTTAGGGTTTTAGAGGTCTTGCCACTTGCCGTTGAAAGCCTTGCCCAACAAATTTTTTTTATAGATTGCCTAGCAAATTTTTAGATTGTTTCTGTGGTTAGGGTTATGTGTATTCACCCAAAAAAAAAGTTATGTGTGTCAGTGTTTGGTTGGCATTCAAAAAAAAAACAAAAAAACAAAAAAAACAACATAGGTGAGGTAGTGTGTTTGGTTGGAATTAGGAGTGTTGTGAGTCTATGCCTGTGTAAGGCTACATGATTGTGTGTCAATTAAGAACAAAAATAAAAAATAAAAAATTGAAAAGTCAGGGGGGACACGTGACCCCCTTTGTCCCTATGTCTTATTGGAATGTGTCTCACATCGTCTAGAGTTGCCTCATCTGTGCTGGTTATAAGGCTCTAATTTCCCTCTCCTTAATACCTAAGTTATAAGGAGAAGTGTAGGCTGGGCTTTTCAAGTTGGTATCAGAGCTTGGTTGGGCTTATGATTGGTGTGCCGTTTGTCCGACTTCTGTATGTTGTGGTCCAGGAGAGTGTGTTGGAATATGTCCCACATTGCCTGGAGTTAACCCGTTTGTGCTAGTTATAAGGCTCTAGTTTCCCTCTCCTTAACACCTGGATTTTAAGGAGAAGTATGGGATGGGCTTTTGAACTTAGTTATAAGGCTCTAGTTTCCCTCTCCTTAATACCTGGGATTTAAGGAGAAGTGTGTGTTAGGCTTTTCAACTTGGTATCAGAGTTTGGTTGGGCCTGTGATTGGTGTGCTGTTTGTCCGGCTACTGTATGTTGTGGTCCAGGAGGGTGTGTTGGAATGTGTCCCACATCGTCTATAGTTGTCCCATCTGTGCTAGTTATAAGGTTCTAGTTTCCCTCTGCTTAATACTTAGATTTTAAGGAGAAGTGTGGGTTAGGCTTTTCAACTTGTCCCTCTGCCCCAAACAACAAACTAAAGTGCAATGTCAAATCAGCTGTAGAACGAGAAAATTCTTGTTACCCATCTCCAAGTCAATACCACTTTATGTCCTTGGCTTATTGCAGGGTTCAACATCAGATAATACCTCTTACCCATCTACACATCTTTGAACTAATTGTTTCTCACTTAAGCAAGAAGCATTTGTCTTATTTATCTAATGAAAATTTTGACACTACTCTTGTGTTTGCGTGAGGGAGAACATAGTGTTTGAATAAAGAAGCTATCTAATTGATTAAATGCTCCTCAAGTTTAATCTTTTAAACAAATATACCATAATTAAGACTTAAATTTCCTACTTATTTTTCTTTAAAAACCTAGAATTAGATGCCAAAATGCTTTTGCTAGAAACCATAGTTTTTGAAAGACCATAATGTTGCATTTCTAGTCATGGATTTGGATTTGATTATAGAAAAAGAATAGCCATAAATCTATAGTGGAAAAGTTACATTTTTGTTAGTTAACATTGGATCTTCTATAATTTCTCCTTAAACTTCAATAACAAATGATTAGCCTTTTGCCACCAACCGCAATCATTTTAAACTACACTTTCCCTTTAAACTCGTTATAAATAATGATTCACATAAACAAATAAGAAACAAAGACTATTAAGCTAAGCATCTACTTCTCAATTTTGAAATATGTTCCTTTCCTCTTATTTTTTTGGGGGTCATTTTTCCATCAAAAGATAGAGTCTGGATTTGCTAAGGTTGAAGATCTCAACTTCATGGTGAAATTGACCCATTATAGGACTAATTTGGACTCACTTCCGTGATCTAAACCATTCATCTTATACAATCAGCTGATAAAATCATCCATGCAAAAAATCAAATGGATCTAACACTGATTGTCATGCTATAAGATCACTTTTATCTATATGACATACATGATTTTAAAATTAGACCGTTCATTTGTTATACTATATATATGTGTGTGTGTGTGTGATTTGATTGTGATTATTTGTCTGATCAAGTCAAATTTTTTCATGCATGTTCTTATCAGCTTGTCATATGAGATGAACAATTCAGATCACTAAATTTGGTACAGATTGGTCTCACAATGCACCAACTTCACCTATAAAGTTGAGATTTTCAACTTCAGCAAATTTGAACTCCAAAATATAGTAGGACATTCACTACAGAAATCAAATAACAAACATTTGAAAATCTAATTCTCTGTTTGTAGTTAAAAAGCTGAATTAGAATCAAAATGACATAAAAAACCACAAAATTCGAAAAATATAATTAATCAGGAAATGAGATGAAGACCTTCTGGAATAGAAGACTTGTTTTTTTTGAGGCACAAAGATGTCCGCACCCAATATGTTTCCACCTCTTGAAGCTATACATTCCGATAACTTTGCCACAATGCCCAGCGTATCCTGATTCAAAAAAGAAAAAAATAATAATAATAAATAGAATACAATTGGCATGTCAAAAGCACAAAACAACGAACCCAAAATTCGATCCAAATTTAAATACAGAACCCAAAAATGCAGGAAAGTAGAAAAAAACAAGCCATTCAGAAATTGGACTGAAAGTTGAAGCAGAAAGTAAATCATTATAAATATTATATATGCGCAGAGAGAGAGAGAGAGAGAGAGAGGGGTATACTGGGCAATGGAAGACGTGAATCCCATGGATGAGAGCGGGGGAGGAAGAGGAGTCGAGGGAGTCGCCAGCGAATTTGAGTGATTTGAGGGACCTTCGTGTAAATCCAACAACTTGAGGTAAGCTTGTGTTCACTCTTCGCAGGAGGCTCATGTCCTCTCTCTCTCTAGTTTCTCTCTCTACAGGAGTGCCTACTGCCCAGCTTGCTCACCAACCACACTTGGGTACTCCTTTTTATGGATTACGTTTTTCTTCCATTGGGGAGCCATGGGCCTTCCATCTGGACAACAATGCTACGTATACCCACCACCACCCAAAAAAAATTAAAAAATCTCACACAATCCCATGCACTTGTGATTTGTTTAGAAAATAACAGAAAAAAGAAAAAAAAAAAAAACATAATTGTCATCATTTTGATGATCAAAAAAATCTCAACTTTAAGGTCTTAAGTATTTTTTGTTTGGAAAATGAGTGCGACCCATTTTTAGAGGGCCCCTACAATTTTTATAGTGATTCACTTAAGCTCCCTCATATGGGGTGTTTGGTGCAGCTTTTTTAAGTTAACTTATGGCTTTTGACTTTTAAAAAGTTATTTTGGACTGTTTGGTTAAACTTATTTCAAACAGCTTCTGATTCTAACAACTTATTTTAAGTCAAAAAAGCTGATTCTGAAAAGCTGCTCACCCCTTGCTTCTGATTATCAGCTTCTGCTATGGACATGCTAATTCACGATTATACTCTTAGATTTTTTTATTTTTTATTTTTTTTAAAATAGAAAAAGACTCAAATGGACTATTAAATATTATTATTATTTTTTATGAAAAATATAGACAAATAGTGAAATAATAAAAAATAAAAATTAATTGAAAAAACTACTTCACAGCTTATTTAACAAACACTACTCAGCAACTTAAATCTATAATCCAACAGCTATACCAAACAGATTAACCGCTTCTGATTAAAGTCATAATCTATAATCTGTTAAGCTATAATCTATAATCTGTTTTAACAGCTACACCAAAGGTCCTTTAAGAAAAGGTCTCTATTATTGCTTTTTTTATTTTTTTGGTTATATTTTAATCGTCAATCATGATTAAATTTTAAAAAATTATCCAATATGCCCATATGTTTAATGGATGTTTAGTGCCATTTTGAGAACATGGTAAAAAGTCATATTTTTTGATAAAATATCTAAAAACGTGACTGTCAAAAATGCCAGAAAAGTCATTTGGCAAGTGCCAAAAACGCAGCTGTAAAACTACAAATTAGGGCCTATGAAAAAAAAATAAAAAAAATAAATCTTTTATGTTGGGTAAGGGTATTTTGGTCATTTTAATTTGATTTGACACTATAAATAAATATTAAACTAAAAAGCAAAAAGTCAACTTTTTATCAATTTCCCAAATCACTTTCAAAAAAACTAAAAAACTTGATAAAAAGTCAAAAAGTAACTTTTTACCAACTTTTCAAAATAAATGTATTAAGGGACACAGGTTAAATTGTTATGTATTATTTATTTCACTTTTTTTTTGTGTGCGTGTAATACGGACATTTTTTTTTTCCAAGTAATTAAATTAAATAATGCAGCGGATTAAAATAAAAGATGTAGATAAATATCTAAAGCATACATAGAAATTATTATTTATGTAACGATGTAACATCAGTCAAATAATGATTACAAGAAGGAAAAAAAACAAAAAAAAAAAAAAAAAAAAATGATATCACTAAAGCCTTGATAGCGGTTATAGGCTTCGTTTCGTTTCGAATTTAGGTCAAATTTGGTATGATTTAAATAATATAAAAAGTTAAAAAGTCATTATTTTATTTAAATTATATCATCTTATTTAAATCGCATTATATCTCTAACACATCACATCAAACCTAACCTAAACTCAACCCATATAAGCCAATAAATCAAAAAGTACACTTTTTTAGAACATTCCAAACTAACCCTTAGATTGGTTTTTAAAATTTTTTAAATTATTTTGATCTTATTTGATAAGTGATTTTTTTATCAAAAAGTTAAAAAGTCACTTAAAAAAATTAAAAATCTAACAACTTATACTAAAAAATCAAATATTCTATTTTCTCTTTACTTTTTACACATCTTTTCGTGAAAAATCAAAAAGTTATTCCAAATATATTAATTTTTTATATCATATTTTAGCCAATAAGCAAAAAAATTACTAAAAAAATTGTTCCCAAACGAGGCATGTCTATAACTAAAAAGTTTCGTTTGAGATAAATTTTTTTGCTTTTTTTTATTTTTGTGAGAAAAAAAAATTACTATAAATTAAATGTGACATTTTATCTTCTTCTTTTTTTACTAAAATAATTAATTTTATCCTATATAACTATTTTAGCCCAAACTTAAGAGGTCACTGCTGTGCTCGAAGCACAGCAGTGACTGTGGTGCTTCCGTTTAAGGTGTATTATAATCTTATTTTTATGATCTAAATCGTTTATTTTGTAGGGTTTGTTAAGTATTTCATACCTATTAAAAATCATATTAATCGGATATTAACAACTATATGATCGATAACCAAAAAAATAAATAATAAGTTTTTCTTTTGAGAAATAGCATAAACAATATGCGATTCGATCATATAGTTATTGATATCCGATTAATATGATTTTTGATAGACACGAAGTACTCAACAAATCCTACAATATAAAAAATTTAAATCATAATACACTTCAAATGAAAACACCACAATCACTGCTATGCTTTGAGCACGGCAGGGACCCTATTGCTTTCCAAACATAGCTATAGATTGACCCACAAAAATCGTATTGAAGACCGTAAGTGGGCTTAGTAGGTCAAGTCAGCCGACACCAAAAACATAAACTTAAACCCTGCCCAACTAGTTTGGCCCGAGTTTCAATACCTAGGGTCAAGTTTAACTCAAAACTCATTCAAGTTAGACCAAGATAGGATTTGGACCTATTAGGAGTGGGCGCGGGTCGGTTGCGGTCACGGAACTTCTAATCCGTCATCCGTTCGTCACATTGGCGGATTGGAGAAAATCAATCCGTATCTGTCTGCCAATCCGGCGGATGTGGATTGAGCGAATTGGCGGTTTGGCGGATGGATACAAATCGGTTTGGCGGATTAAAATTTTATAAATTTTCAACATAATTCAACTTGTGCACTTCTTCAAAAAAAAAAAAAAGGAGTATTACAGTTAATGACTTAAAAAAATATTACAATCACTGCATGCCTTATCCAAAGCAAGAAAGTTTGAAACTTTAAAATATCACAATTACTACATGTCTCATCCACATACTACAATCACAGCATGCCTCATCTATATAAAGTATTACAATCTGTGATTTTTAAAATATAAAAACCATTCAAACCACCAAAACTATTAACAGAGTAGTAGTAGAGATTGTATGTCTCTGTATTGTTACATCTATATATGTTTTTGAAAACAAAAACCAACCAGCATATATCATATTTTCTATTTATTATTTTTAGAGATAGATTTAAAAACCCAAAAATATAGATAAATAATATGTTTATTTTTTTCAATTCAAAAAAGATGTTCAAGTTGAAAACTTTTTTTCAACAGAATATTTAAAATCTTTTTCAATTAAAAACACAAACAGAATATTTAAACAAACTGAAAACACAAAGTCTTATAAATTACTAGGGGTGTTCGCGGTTTGGCGGTTCGGTTGCGGCCAAAAGAATCTCAAATCCGTCATCCGTCCGCCAGATTGGCGGATTGGAGAAAATCAATATGTAACCGTCCGCTCGTCATTACGCATCCGTCCAAAATGCAGCGGATCGGTTCAGGTCGGTCAATTTTGGCAGAACGATATATCCGCTGCTCACCCCTATAACCTATGACTCTTAAGTATCAGTACTTTATAATATTTATTTATTTTATCTCAAATTATATATAAAAAACAAAAACAAACATGGGACAACGGTGAATCCAAAATTAAACATGGGACAACGGTGAATCCAAAATTAACAACCCCAAAATTGTAGTTGTTAAGCATGTTCTTTTATTTATTTATTCAACCACATATATTTGACTTGTTAGATTGAGAGTATTTTTAATGTTTTATAAGTTCTACTACAAATATAGGAATCAGTCACTAAAAATTTTGCAGAACACATAATAGATAATATATTATAAAGTTTATTATTAAGGTATATTTTTTAAAAATTATACCCATTCATTTACATTATATATAATTCTAAGGTCATTTTTTGTATTTATATATTGTTATTATAATTATTTACTTCTTAATTTATTTTGGCACGATACTTTTATTTAAAAATTGATAATAAAAAATAAAAAATTATATTTATTTTATTTTTCTATCTCATTTTTGGAAAATTAATTATTGGTTCAGGGACATCACGTAACTGTATTCTGACTAATCACAAACCACTATACCTTTTCCTCCTATTCCCCAATCACTCATTTTTACCAATCACAAAACACCTATGGCACCAAATAGCGGTGCCTAAGATCATCTCTAACGGTGATTCAGATTCATCACCATATTTGAATTTGATGAAACAGTACTACTTTTATCTCTCCAACGGTTTCACCAAAATGATATCAAATTGAGAATAAACGAAAACTTTCACCAAAATAAGGAGTTGGAGCAGATTTCACCAAACACTGTGTGTTTATGTTGGAGGTGGGCCCACCAGGCAACCGATCGATTGACCACCGGTCGTCCCTTGCATACAAAAAATGCAAAGTTGTTGTGACCTTTTTTAGAGAGTAGAGAGAGATGCAGAGCTTCAAAATCGTGGTAGCAACAGCAGCGGCCCCTTTACCCAATTCTGATATGTACTCCTCTCATTTCTATATAAGGTTCTTTCTGTATCTATCTTTCTGTATCAACTAAATAAGGTAGGGTTTTGATTTTGGAATTTTTGAGGTGTTTGTTAATGCTAATCTTGTGAAATAAACAGATACGAAGAATTTTTCCCAAACCAGACTCGTTTTGCTAATATTGGAGATCTTCAACATTCACCTGCTGGGTTTCGACACCAACAATACTTTTTCCTCTCTTTCTCTCTCTCTCTCTAACTACTTAATAATAGTTTTGTTATATTTCTTGGGTAGGCTCCATATACATTATGAAGACAAGCAATGTTGCTGCTGTTATCTCTAATAACTTCCATTTAGGTGAACTCACCTCCTTGGTACTATGGATTAATGTGTTTTTATATGAGTTATTGGAAGGAAATCATTATTGGAGGCAACAAAAAATGAAAAATATTTAACGGATGGGGAAAAAATGGGGAACAAATTAGGAAACAGAAATTGAGGGTGGAAAAAAAAATTTA